GTGTCAACGAGGGTTGCGTACCTAATACACAGAATCACGAAACGGTATTCGCTGAAAGTCATACAGGTTAACACACCAACGCACAATAAAGGTGAAGGAAATGTATGAGGATATCTCTAGAGCCATCCATTCCTCTCAAACTCACTATTGGGTGTTAATGGGCACTTCAACGCAAAACTAGGCCCAAGAGAGAACAGTGAGCTAGGGAAATTTGGGATAGGGCAACGAAACCTATGGGGCCAACAGCTGGTCGACTGCATGAAGAAATAGGGAATCTTTATTATGAACTCTTTTTTTCAGAAGCGGCCCCACAGAAAGTGGACCTGGTCGAGCCTTGACGGTTCTACAAAAAATGACATTGACTTCATTATTCAAAAACCGAATGGTGAGAGGCACACTGAATCTAAATGTTAAGTTGGAGAGGTTAGGTCTAATGAAGCCAAAGCTCCGTCTACCTCACACTCTAATCCAAAGGTCCGAAAATTTTTCAGCTTGAGTTATAAAATCACTTTCAGTGCCTAGATGACTGCATTGCAGTGGAGTAGGCGAACGACTAGCTCGTGGAAACTCACACTCTTAATCTCATGGCTGTTAAACAGGAATTGAAACTGCATTCTTCAGCTAATTTGACAGTATACAGGCAACTGAACAGACAGATCTCCAATTGCATGCGGTTCTATGTACAGCTGCACACGTCACCGTTGAAGTCACACGTTTTTTTCCGACACTATTCCGATAATTTGCTGAATGTCAGTCTGAGTGAAATTAAAATGGCTCTACAGCATCCTTAAACGCAACGGCAAGTCCCCTGGCGAGGATGAAATTACAACGAAGTTTCTGAAAGTGGGTGGAAAACTGGTACTTGAAGTAAACTTCACTACTTCAGAGGCTCTTTAATTCCATCCTTTATGGTGGTAAAAGTCCGGAGTTGTGGAGCAGAAGGGTGGTCTTTTTCTTCGAGGAAGACGACCACGCTCTCTAGAAGAACTACAGACCGATTTCTCTTCTGAGCCACGCCTATTAGATGTTTTTGAGAGTCATTACGAGTCGTCTCGCCCACAGACTTGGCGACTTCCAGCCTCCCGAACAATATGGTTTCTAAAAGAGCTTAAGCACTATAAATCACATACATAGACTTCAGCAAATTGAACACTGAAAACAACAGAAATATACAATTTGCCCCTTTGTCTTGTGTATTGTGTGGATTTATAAGAAAGCCTTTAATTCCGTCTATATTCAGACGATGCTGCAGTGCCTTGAGCGGTGTCAAGTTTACTGTCGGTATATGGCCGAATACATAACCAGAGTACGAAACCTATCCAAATGCAGAGATGTGTAAAACATCCCCAAAACTCTTAACCACTGCATTGGAAGACGTTTTCAAACTTCTACCCTGGAAAGGATTACAGTATTAACATCAAGGGCACATACATCCCTCACCTTTTACGACGATGTACTCCATATGATAGAATCGCTGGAGGCCTAAGCACTATGTTCAATGACCTCAATAGTAACTTCCAACGGATAGGTATCTCCCATGTTAGACCTATGACCGTAGTTGTTGGGAGCATAAAGCTCGACCGACTCGATGTTTACCTGGGACAAGCAGGCCGACTAGGTAATTCCAACTTCGATCGAGAGGTTAATCGACGGATTCAATTTGGCTGGGCAACGTTCGTATGGACAAAACAAAGATCATGTCATATATATCATACACAATACGTATATTAATATCAACGTCTTTTCGTCAGGTGACACCTTAAAACTTGAAAACAAGGTTATACATACATAACATAAACACTCACGCCTGTCACCCAGAGGGGTAGGCAGAGATTACGGACTTCCATTTGGCACGATCCTGACATACCTCTTTCGCCTCCTTTACATCCATATATCTACGCATACATGCTCGTCGGTTAAGGATACTTCTAACGTGGCCCATTTTCAAAATATCGCCAATTTGGTCGACAAACTTTTTTCTAGGGCGTCCCTTCCCGACTCGGCCGTTCACATCTGCCATATAAATTTGCTTTGTCACTCTTTCATCATTCATTCTTTCTACGTGACCAAACCACCGAAGCATTCCTTTCTTAATCCTGGTCACAACATCATCTTGCATACCACATTTATCTCTTATCACGCAATTTCTCACCCTGTCATTCAGATTAAACCCTAGCATATTTCTTAAAGAACGCATTTCTACAGCATTTATTCTACTTTCGTGCTTCTTCTGCCACACCCAGCTTTCACTACCATATATTAACGTAGGGACTAACACAGCATTATGAATTACCATACGTGCCTGTTTTGACACATTCTGGTTCTTCATAATAGAGTGTAGTGCCCCATTCACTCTATTCCCTGCATTTACTCGTCGTTCTATATCCCTATCATATCTACCACCCCTGCTACATCCCAAATACACAAACTCATCCACTTGCTCAATTAACTCTCCTTCTATTCTTATTTCACATACCGTTTTGCTTTCTTCTCTTTCAAAAACCATCACTTTCGTCTTACTTGCGTTCACTTTCATTCCCCTTTCTTTTAATTCCCAGTTCATTAATGTAACCATCATTTGCAACTCAGCCGCTGATGACGCAAATATGACTTGATCATCGGCATACAAAAGGCATTTGACGGTTAACTCGCCCATTCTTAAACCACATTCTTCATCTTTCAAAGTTTGCAAACACCGGTCCATAAATAGGTTGAACAGCCAAGGGGAAGCTACACAGCCCTGTCTGACACCTTTTTGGATGCCAAACCAGTCCGAGTAGACCCCATTGATCCTGACACAAGCACTAGAGTCCCTATAAAGAGACCCTAATGCCTGTATCAAACCAGCGCTCAACCCATATGAGTTCAGTGTTTGCCATAACACATTCCTGTCCACTCTGTCATAAGCCTTTTTCCAAGTCCATGAACGCACAAAAAACTTTCTGGTTTTTGGCCAAAAACTTCTCCGCAATCATGCGCATGGAAAAGACTTGATCTGTGCACCCCATTCCCTTTCTAAAACCCGCTTGCACATCCCAAATTTTTCCATCAGTTTCTTTCATAACTCTTTCAATTAACACCTTAGCATACAGTTTACCCACAATACTAAGCAAGCTGATACCGCGGTAGTTTTTGCAGTCCTGCTGTGACCCTTTTCCTTTATATATTGGTACTATAACTGCTTTACACCAGTCATCCGGTACCCGTTTTAATTCCCAACATAAATTAAACAAGGTGTACAGCAGGCCTGCCACCACTCCCTCTCCAGCCCTTAGCATCTCGAGTGATACTCTATCATATCCAGCTGCCTTACCTGCTTTCATGCTTTTCATTGCTTTCATTATTTCATCTACACTTATCTCCATACCCCTTTCCACTTCTTTCGGAATTTCTAGTTCATTTAATTCATACGACTCTTCACTCATAAACACGCTTTCAAAGTATTCCTTCCATCTGTTTAAATTCGAAACTTCATCATTCAGAATACATCCATTCTCGTCTCTTATAGCATTTTTATAGTTATACAATCGGTGTGTATTGCGAATGATGGCTTATGGATTGAAGACGTGGTCCTTTACTGCTGGCCGTATGCGGAATCTTAAGGTCGCTCAGCAAGCTAAGGATAGATCTATTCTTGGGGTTTCTCCGCGTGATAAACTTCGATCTAGAAATCAGGGTATCCGCAATAGAACCAGAGTAACCGACATAGCCCAATGGATTAGTAAACTGCGGTGGCAACGGACCGGACGTATAGCTTCAAGAATCGACAACCGATGTGGAATTAAGGTTCTCGAGTGGCAGCCTCATACCGGTAAGCAAAATGTATGGTGGCGGTTGGTAAATATTTTCTGGCACTTTGTTGTAAAAGCATATACATTGCCAATTGATATAAATAGCTTCTGCATGAGAAATGTAATTACTGAGTGTAGTTTGCGAAATGTATCTTGTAAGTTAAATTTGCGATTTTTTAAAAATAAACGAAAGACTGCCTACTTTGCGCCTGTGTTCGAGACTAGTTTTCACCATACCAATATCACCAATAACATTCTAATGAGCCCGTTCCATTAAGATCAAAGCCGCTAGATAACATTTTGTCGCACAAGCCAAGAAGCAATACTCCAAGAACAACTAGATTTGCAGGGTACGCAATCATCACTGACACCTTATTTCCTCGCAGCTGCTTTGGCCCTAGACTCAATGAACAGCTAAAATTCAGGTAAGAGGAAACTTCCACCCCTGTAACAGTTCCCTGGACTGAGAAGACTGCTATTTCAATTTGGAAAGATTTGTCATTGTATAGCAGGTGAATTAGTTATCTCATGATTGACATGATTATCTTTACATTCGCAAACAGTTTGCATGTAGGTTTTAGTTATTTAGGATTTAGTTATACATAAAAACTTCAAAAATCAATTACAGTAATCAAAGTCAACGGTACAAGTAAATGCTTACATGTAAATTTAGGCATTCCGATAATACAATTGTTTTAACATCCGCTGTTTGCAGTTGCACTCAGAGTTTATGTCCAGGAAAGCGTTTAGCATCGAGTTCAAAGAGATCAAAGCTACAGGACACATGGCATGAGTCTATTTATTTATTAGTTTATTATTCCTGACTTCGAAAAATTCACTTATAAATGACTAAAGTTTGAACCAAGAGCTTTCATTGTCGTTACATAAATAAGAACATTCAACAAATTTCTAATAATACTCACAAATTACAAAACCGAAAAAAAATCATTTTTTGGAATATTATATTCATGTTGTTATCAAAAAATAATGATTTGCAGCAATGCAATTATTTCAAAACAATAAATAGCATATTTATGTTCACAAATAAAACATAAATTATCCAGCTTGTAAGGCTAGCGAAGATTATTCTAATCTGTCTTTATCTTTTAATGGCTGAAATCCATTTCGTAATCCTATTCTGAAATGAGAAAATTATATTTTTGTTCCTACAACGGTTGGATTTAGAGTGGATTGTAAAATTAAACATTAATGAACAGGCAAGGTAAAGCTTATAATATCGGAATAGTGCAATGTTATGTAACAGATGTAACAGCCAAAAGGTGAACGTCTCGAGATTGTGCCGAATTTTATTCTACTGTGTTGCATCGTTAAATACGATACATTTAATTGAAATTATATATTTGATAGGTATTTGATGTTGTGAAACTACGACCATCTGACTCTACAACTCACTTCTTTTGAAAATATAATAATATATGACGAGAAACCTAGCTGACCAACCTTATTAAATCTATTTATAGTATTTTATAGAATACCTGTTCTATTACAGCCTGTTCACTTGCTCGACACAGAACTTCTCCATAAGTTGTCATAGGGAGAATTTTGTCATAGTTGGCAACATAAATAGTGAAAGGCTGGAATTTTAATTACCCATAAGCTTATGCGACAGAATACGAGGAAGTGCTGATTTGGGGTTACGCCGTTTGTTGAAAACTTTAAAAATAGTGAAGAGTATGTACTCTAGGTTAGAACCTTATATTCGATTTTATTATGTGAACTAGATAGTAGAGCTCCTTTTGCATCATGCCTGGGTTGGTATCACCCCTAACTGTATCCGTCGTGAGCTACAGAGCTAGTTTAATCAAAGGCTTTAAGGCATTTTTACGTGATAGAGTCACGCTACACGAATTGGTCGGCTCGACCGAGAAATCATCACGCCTTCATAGAATACCAGCATAAAATAGCATCTTAATGCTGATGTGTTTCGTATGGTAAATATAGAGAACTGAAGACCCATTTGCTCGAAACGAGGCATTTAATCATATTCATCAGGGTGACAATGCATCTGCATTTTAATTGTTCTTAATCGAGAGTATATGAAGAATGAAGACATCGATGAAGATTTCTATGGGCTAGCATCTACTTACCATCAGCTGAAGTGTGTGATCGTTATCACCCTTATTCTATAAACAAATCATATAAATTGGATTGATAATGTAGATTGCAGGTTCCTTTATTTCTTTATAGAGATTTGTAGGTGTCGACGGACTAAAGTAGTCATTTACCATCCGGCGGACTGTTAGCTCGTGGCTCGCTATAATATTATTCAAAAGACAGAACTGAAAAGAAATCATTTAACAATTAAAACATAATTTTTTCAATCTATTAACATGTTAGCGATTAAAGACAGAGGCAGCATAGAGACTAAAATGCATAAGGACAAACATTTAGCCTCGGAACAATTACTTATGGACCATACAAATACCTGTTCTGCACCTAATGGATTAGAACCCGAATCCCTCAGCGGCGCATCTCATTGCTATGCCATTTACATTATAGAACAATATCGACAAACGAGCACAAAGTCCAGCTGAGGTTAAGTAAATGCTGTGGCCAATCGACATCTACATTTATCCTCAATCAAGAATCAAAACACCGTCCACCTCTGACAGGGAATATCTCGTTTCCAGTAAAAATGGGTCTCTGGATCTCTACACTCACCAACACTGGTATTCTGTGAGAGGGTGGTTCTTCACCGGTCGAGCCAACCCAGTCGTGCTAGAACCATAATATAGCTGCAGCGTGGCTCTACCACGTATGATGTTTATAATAAATATATAACTAAATAGTATATGCCATATTATTCTTAAATCGGTAATAAATTAATTAAGTTTGATTTGGTAAAGGTGGCAGCGGTACAATCAATGCGTATAAGTAAAATTAATCGAAACTCTGATAGAGATGTTCTTGTAAAAGTTGACCTAAGCTTTAAATTTAACTTTAACGATATGGTAACCCTGGTGAAAGAAGTGGCTAAGAATATCTCTGAAATTTATCATTATGTTTGGCAATGTTTTATCGTGTAGTCAGCGTCTTCCTAATAACGATCAAAACTAAATAGCTTTGGTTGCCAATCCGCTTGGCACGTTTGGCAACTATGACAAATATTCCCCATATTAGGCCATCAATGGGGAGGCTTATGTTCAGCAGTGAACTTTAATAGGCTGTAACGGTAACGATTGGCAATGTTACAGTCAAAATAACTTGTTCTACTAAAACCATACTATCGAAGTCGTACGGGGTGAAGGTTCAGTGCGTTAAGGCGTGGGGCGGGCGGGAATCGTGTAGTGCGGGGCGGGGAGTGGCGAGGCGAGCCCGGCGCGCGTGGCCGCTCGGCCAGCATTCCGAGTCGCGCGCCCGCTCCGATCGCTCGTGCCGCGCCATCCGCGCCGCACTGCTACTTCACTCGCCGCAACTTACCCGTACCGGTAATGTACCAACTGGTAGCCCCAGCTCATCCACTTTAAACTTACCGAAACTCCGAACACCTTCGCTCCAGTTACGCGCAGACTTCCTGGTGTTACTATTTTCAGTGCTCAACTTCAATTGTACACGTGGAATTGACCGAAAATTGGCGATCGGAGTTTCGGTAGAGACTTAATCGCTCGCTACTTGCGTCACCTGCGATCCGCGGCGAAAGTGCAATCCGGGGAAATGCAGAACAAGGTCACTCGCAGACGTTCACTCGCGGCTCAAAATTTTCAATGTAGTATATGTGTTTGATCAAGCTAACGGAACGGCAGTCAAAGAGCTAAGCCATTGCATGCCCCATTATATTGCATTTGCATAAAGTACGTAATCATGAATAACTAAAAAATTGAACAGTCATGCCTACGCGGTGCACGCACATCTTCTTATGAGAAGTAGATCTCTGTCCACGTCTACTACAAAATGTTTCATCTTTACATATTTACTTGTTCTACAGCATTTGTAGAGTCGTGAAACGTCATGTTACGTATTCTGATAAAGTTCAAGGTCGCGATGCAAAGGGGTCATGTTCACTCCACGATGCAATAGCTAAGTTCGTTAAAAATTTGAGTAAATTATATTTTATTTTACTTTTATTTTTTAAATGTTTGTGTCCACAAACGTAATTGTAAAAGAAATTGGGACAGTAGTCCCCAGGTTAATAGCACCAAACGGACCGCAGCAAATTCGCAAATTGCCGAAACGAACCAAGGACGGTCGCGAGAGCAGCGTTCGTCCCGGAACATTCGATTGTTGCCATTGATCAACTACAAATGATTGAATGGAAAGCGACTTACGATAGGATTGCGATATCGGCGCCGCTACGTGCCGGCACATATTCGTCTATTTTACTTGCGAGCCGCGGAACTACGGTGACCCTTGATGTTAACGCTTTTGTTTGTTTTGATTTACTAACCAAATATACACTGATGCTTATGTTATATTTAAAATTACATAATTTTTATTTCTGAGAAATATGTTTACTGCACTTGTTATCGAAAAACTTGTGTGTATCACGAGCGCGACTCACGTCAATTGACGTATTTATCTTATAAGTTAAAAATAAGTCTTTTATTAATGTTTTGCTACGTAAGTTTTACAAGTGGACCTCCTTTTTACTGGAAATGAGACATTCTATTTTAGTCCTCAGGGGTGACAACGCATCTGTATTTTGATTCCAAATCGAGGATAGATGTAGATGTCTACGGGCCACAGCATCCACTTAACATCAGGTGAACTGTGTGCTCGTTTTACTCTATAAAAAACCTTGTATTTGTTAATGATGCATGTTTGGCACGAAGTTTGCACGACAGAGGTGCGTTGTGTGTACGCTACGCCACTTGTTACGTCACACTCTCCGTAGTGCGCGTGATCCTGATACCCAATACCGGACCATATGTAAACAAACATTGGCAGAGCACGAGTGTTGTTGTCCCTCGCACAGTCTTTATTGAAACTAAAGACTGATTTGTCAAATAAAAGTTATTTATGGACTTATAAACAGTTCAATTGTTTTACTTTTATATTATAATTTATTTGATGAATGATTTTAAGTACAAATAAGGCTCTCTCTGATTAAAAGTTAATTTTTTAATTTTTATGTTATATAACACTTAACTAAATATTGTTATTTGAATTAAAAACAAAAAGAACTTTATTTTATTTAAAGAGTTCAAATAATAATAATAATAATAAAACGTTTATTTCAGATTAAAAAATCCATACAAATTTGTTAGTAAATTTCTTAAAAAAAGGTTTCAAAGGTTAATTCTAATCCCATTTGTGGAAACAGGACTAATAAAATACTTTACTGTGCAATCTATCCTTCCATTACAGCCTATAAAAGCTTACTGCTCAACACAGCTCTCCCCTATAATTATCATAAGGAGAATAGTGCCACAGTTGCCAAGACTGGCAACTATTTTTTTAAAAGAATATTAACAATGCTATAAACATTACTAATATTCCCCTTAACCACTCGTGGTAAGCTTAAATTGCTTGTGTTACGAGTGGTTCACGCCAGTAGTCGAATGGCGGATTCGAACCCACGACCTTTTTGAGTTCGCGGTCCGCACTTTTTTTTGTTTAATATTTGTATAAATAATTACTATTGCTTGTAACTATGTCAACCCCTCCTTTGTTTAACTATTATCATATACTTATTCGTGATATTTATAGATAATATTGTTTCTGTAGCTTATTATTTTATTGCGATCGCGTTGCCTAGTTACGCATGCTTGAGTTAAAAACACGTTTTCCTTCTCTACATTATGTTAATTTTAATCTGATCTTTGTTATGTCTACTTACGTGTATACCATAAAAGTCTCAAACAATAATATATTGCTTAAGATAAAACCATGAAATGATACATTTTTAAACGAATAAATTATTAAATTCTGATAAGAAGTTGCAAAAAAATTTTTATATTTATATTCAGTCAGAATTGCCCACATTGCCGTATAAAATTTTATACACCATAAACCCTCGAAAAAAAACCGATTCTTATCTAGAATTATTCGTGAAATATTATAAATATAAAAATTAAATTATAAAAAACTTTCTAATTTAAATGAAAAAGCTGACTGGGCTGCAAGCATTCTATAATTAATAAAACTAAATGCCAATCCGAGCTTACCAGCAAAATAATCATATGATATAGTGTATAAAAATGATAGATATTGTAATTTCATTCTTAGTAGATTGAACTAGAATTAATAATAAAAGGTGAACATAGCCAGGGTTAACCATGACGTCACATGGCATTGAACAACTCAGGCCTCCAATAACTTGTGTGCAAAGCACTCGAAACGTCGGAAATATACAAATATAAAAATTAAGTAAATCAAGAAAGATAAAATCTGGTATTTTTATTCAATGTGTACTGTTCGTGTTAATACAAATCATTACTCGAAATTGTTCTGAGGAATATTTTGAAACATAAACTAGCTGTTTACCTTCATCCTATGTATATTTTAAAGATTAATTAACGTGTCGAAAAGCCTGGTTTTACTTAAGACATATCACTATTAAAATAAAGGTTAGTTACATAACATTTAAATGTATATTTACTACTATAACCTTAAAAAAATATCATACAGTCCTAAACGCCGTCTATACTGCCAAGAATGCCGGCTGCATTCCCTTCTTGAATGGCTATACTCAGCCTTTGAACGAGAAAAACCCTTATCTCACTGTTGATAACTAGCAGTGACGGTCAGAACAAATGACGACTAAATGGTTGTCTTAATTGTTATTAACTCAGAGATCAGAGAGTATAATAATGTTTATGTTTTTGTGATAATGTCAGATATATGTGTATTATAAGTAAACTTATTAAATTAATTAATTAAAAAATTCAAAATACTTCAAAAATCTTTAATAAGTAGGAAATACAATTGAGAGAAGGAGACCTAACATTTCTAATTATTTAATAAACATAGAAACAGCAATTAGTTACTTTGTAAAACATAAATTAGTACTTGAAATCATGGTCATACTGAAATTTTACGTGATTTTTTTAACAAATACAACTGTTTTACGCATTTTATTGCGTTTAATTGTAACGGCGGTCCCCGCCGGTATATCAGATTTGATAGACCACAAAGCCTCGCGAAAGAACATCGATTCTTACCAAGGATGCTATGCGAGGCTATTGAAATTAAAAAGTATTCTAATTTCAAAAAAGAAAAAAGCTGAGTACTATCTCCTGCTTTGGACCCTATAATTAATAAAATTAAAACTAAACCCAATCAGCATTCTGCTTAGATCGGACCAAAATTAATAATTCTTAAACTGACGGTATCTATAAAAATAGTTTTATTTAATGTTCAGCGTTCGCGTAAATGTAAGAAATCGTTATGTTTTAAGAATTAAAAGTAGCTCAGCTGCAGCAATAAGTATCGTTCAGCGTAGCTTTCGCGTCGACTGTGTCGGCAACGTTACCTAAGACTGTGCGAGAATTATCTTAATTGTCGACCCACAGTTTATCTTTTTTATAATTTCTAAACTAAATGTAAATTTATTTAACTTTTTTCATGAAATGTACATAAATTGTGTGATTTTTTTCAACATTAAAATAAACGGATTTACATAGGTAGCTAGAAGTAAATATTGAGAGGATATCCTCAAAATTCTTTAACGCTTTTTGAATGATGTTTTGTTATTTCAGCTGTACCTACCTTAACTTACTTAACAGAATCTTGTGGACCTGATTAAAATACCTTCCATGCATGATGACATGATAATAATTATTGGGCATGCATCGTGAAAAACATACTTCTTCGTCCTTGACAAAATACAGACTTCTTAGACTTTGGTACTAATCAGACAATTCTCCAAAATTTTCCAGTGATTTTTCGCTGACCTATAGATTATATCATTACTAGAAAAATATACGTAATAAGCTTCATCAAGCAGTTAATAACTATAGTAAATATATCGGTTAATACAAAATTTACAATGGAAGACGACTCGATGTCAAACGAGACGAAGGTTGACAAGTTAATGGGCATGTGATGTCATCTCGTAGGGTAGACACTTAGCTTTTCTGTGACACTGGTTTTTCTGAGGCAACGAGTTTTTGTATAAAAAAATCTTTAATTTTTTTTAATTTACAGTTGTTTAACATAGTAAAGGTTGAACATCATCTGATACATACCAGACATCAACATCTAATAAATATGTTAATGGTCTACTGGTACAGTTACACATGCTCTTTTCTAATTATATTGGTACAATTACATGTTCTTTTCTTATTTCTTAAAGCTTTCATCTAAACGAATCAGTGGTAAATCCTTCGCCTGCAGATAAAATCATGAGCGCTCTAACTCTATGTTATATGTTAGTTAAAAATAATACAGTCAACTACGGATTAGTAACAAAGTTATTTTAATTTTCAACATTTACATTTACAATATTTAGAGATGGTCGATATAATTAAGGTGAGGCAACACTGTAGCG